TGATGTGATGCAGAGACTTCAGTCTCCTGCAAAAGGAGATCACAGGTCATTGACAAGAGCAAGGAGTTGATGACCCCAGTCTAAGGTACTTCAAGTATTTAGGCTACAGAAGAAACAATGATTTATAATGTGAACTATAAACAATCATTTTACTGAAGTGGTTGTGTTGTTGTATGAATGCTCTTTTGTCTTCCATCATTAAAGTCTTGGAATCTGGAATTACAAAAGGTTGCCTAAATGTTTTCGGATGGGATAAATAATTTGGATTATTCCCAGTGCTTTGTGTCATCATGCTCCTTCTTTCATTCCTGGATCTTTTGAATCTCATTGAATAAGTTTCTAAAAGTAATCACTAATATTTCAGAAATTGCTTTGGCTAATTTTTGAGCTGTTCAAGGTCAATTTCATTAGACAGATGCTGTTGCCCTTGGTGCTTATAACTTTTCAGAGTTGTCTATAACCCGTTCTAACATGTGTCTCTGTCTTTTCTACCATCTTCAAGTGAAAACACAGAATATACTGTCTATATCACTCCTTGCTTTCTTTCCTCTTCTATTACATCGTGACTGTATGTCTTGTCTCCTACTTAGTCCTAATACATGTGTAGGATATTTTTTTATGCCTGTAAGCTGGAACCCATTTTGTACCTTAGCCTTTTTTGAATATACTAGTTCTTATTTATACTGTTCTGTCATCCTAATATCATGCTACTTTTTTTCTGCATCTGCTTTTTGCCTTTAGTTGGTTATCTTGTCAGTTTTTGTGTCATTTCTTTACCTCTTTGCCTCTCAGTTTCTTGAGATCATGGAAGCTTTCTACACCTGCTCTGATTTGACACTGTTTCCCATAACATTCTTCTGCAGAAGCTGGCTGCTTATGGCTTGGATGGGTGTACGCTTTGCTGGATCAAAAACTGGCTGGACGGCCGGGCCCAGAGAGTGGTGGTGAATGGAGTTAAATCCAGCTGGCGGCCGGTCACCAGTGGTGTTCCGCATGGCTCAGTGTTGGGGCCTGTTCTCTTTAACATATTTATCAATGATCTGGATGAGGGGATCAAGTGCACCCTCAGCAAGTTTGCAGGTGACACTAAATTGGGAGGTAGTGTTGATCTGCCTGAGGGTCGGGAGGCTCTACAGAGGGACCTGGACAGACTGGATCGATGGGCTGAGGCTAACTGTGTGAAGTTAAACAAGACCAAGTGCCGGGTCCTGCACTTGGGCCACAACAACCCCCTGCAGTGTTACAGGCTTGGGGAAGTGTGGCTGGAAAGCTGCACAGCAGAGAAGGACCTGGGGGTGCTGGTCAACAGCCGATTGAACATGAGCCAGCAGTGTGCCCAAGCAGCCAAGAAAGCCAACGGAATCCTGGCATGTATCAGAAACATTGTGTCCAGCAGGAGCAGGGAAGTGATTGTCCCCCTGTACTCAGCACTGGTCAGGCCACACCTGGAGTACTGTGTCCAGTTTAGGGCCCCTCACTTCAAGAAGGACATTGAGGTGCTGGAGCAGGTTCAGAGAAGGGCAACAAAACTGGTGAAGGGTTTAGAGAACTTGTCCTATGAGGAGTGACTGAGGGAGCTGGGACTGTTTAGTCTGGAGAAGAGGAGGCTCAGGGGGGACCTTACCGCTCTCTACAATTACCTGAAAGGAGGTTGTAGGGAGATGGGGGTCGATCTCTTCTCCCACGTTATGAATGACAGGACGAGAGGGAATGGCCTCAAGTTGTGCCAGGGGAAATTTAGGTTAGATATCAAGAAGAATTTCTTTACAAAGAGGATTGTGAAGTATTGGAACAGGGAGGTGGTGGCGTCCCCATCCCTGGAAGTGTTTAAAAACCGTGTAGATTTGGTGTTGAGGAACATGGTTTAAGGACCCTGACAGTGCATGGTGAATGGTTGGACTCGATGTTGAAGGTCTCTTCCAACCAGATGATTCTATGATTTCCTCAGAAGAAGTTCTAACACTCTCTTTTTGCTTCTGTCCAAATTGTCTTTGTTATTAGAGACTCAGTCCTCCCAGTTGATCAGAAACAAAGTAATCCCTTTTCTTCACTTCTTGAAATAAAATATAACTCTAAGTCTGGGGATTTTTAAATTAGTGACCTGGCTATCTGTTGAAAGAGCAATGTATCAGGATACAGTCATGCCGTTACAGTCCTATGACTTGCCTTTACCAGCCAGCCCTGTCCTCGCAATTGCTCAGCAAAACAGTCTCTTTTTTGCTCTTATGTTTGAATGTCTTGACATGGCTTCATTTTTCTTCTCTTTGATTTCTGCATGAAATCTGCATTGAACTACATGTTCAGTATGTCTGAACTTTGGAATGAGGTGGAGTGCATCATGTGTATCACACTTTTGGAACAGGTTTCCCCTTTTAAAGGAGCATTCCTGTCTCTTCTATGTAGCTGCTTGTCTACCGTGCCAGATATGATGCCAAATCTAACATGGTGCATGTAGAAAGACTTCTATTCTTCCTATTTTAAAAACACAGCAGGTGCAATGTGATCAAAGACCCATACAGTCTGTGTAGTAGCTTGTCTAAGGGAAGAATAGAATCATAGAATGGCTAGAGTTGGAAGGGACCTCAAAGATCATCTAGTTCCAACCCCCCTGCCGTGGTAAGGGAAACCCTCCACTACACCAGGTTGCCCAAAGCCTCGTCCAGCCTGGCCTTGAACACTTCCAGGGATAGGGCATCTACAACTTCTCTGGGCAACCTGGTCCAGTGCCTCACCACCCTCTGAGTGAAAAATTTCTTCCTTATATCTAATCTAAATCTGCCCTCTTTCAGTTTAAATCCATTGCCCCTTGTCCTATCACTACACGCCCTTGTAAAAAGTCCCTCTCCAGCTTTCCTGTAGGCCCCCTTTAACTACTGGAAGGCTGCTATAAGATCACCTTCTCTTCTGCAGGCTGAACAGCCCCAACTCTCTCAGCCTGTCTTCATAGCAGAGGTGCTCCAGCCCTTGGATCATCTTCATGGCCCTCTTCTGGACCCACTCCAGCAGCTGGTCCAGAATCCTCCACCCTTCTTGTGCTGGGGACTGCAGAGCTGAACACAGTATTCTAGGTGGGGCCTCATGAGACCTGAGTAGAGGGGCAGAATCACCTCCCTCAACCTGCTGGCCATGCTTCTTTTGATACAGCCCAGGATACAATTTGCTTTCTGGGCTGCCAGCGCACATTGCCAGCTCATGTTGAGCTTCTCATCCACCAGCACTCCCAAGTCCTTTTCCTCAGGGCTGCTCTCAATCCGTTCTCCGCCCAGCCTGTACTTGTGCTTGGGATTGCCCCAACCCACATGCAGGACCTTGCACTTGGCCTTGTTGAATTTAATGAGGTTCTCACAGACCCACCTCTGCAGCCTGTCAAGGTCCCTCTGGATGGCATCCCTTCCCTCCAGCGTGTCCACAACACCACACAACTTGGTGTCATCTGCAAACTTGCTGAGGGTGCACTCGATCCTGCTGTCCATGTTACCAACAAAGATGTTAAATGGCACTGATGCCTAAAGGAAGAATAGATCAAGTAGATGGTGATGATTCCCTAATAGAGTTTTCCAGCTTTCCATAAAGAAGTCTATGACCTATTTATTATGTACGACTGTAGCTTATATTCATGGCTATGAATATTACCAACCTACTACGGCTGTTTGGTAGGTAGTCCATTATTCTTCCCTATAGTTTTTCTTATAACAATTGCAGTTGCCATTCTAATCTCATGGTGGTTAATTCACTTCTTTTTTTAAACATTTTTTTTATCTTACATTTTTATTAGTCCTCCTTTAGCTGATAGATTCATAGTTTCTTTCTAGTTTATTTGGAAACAAAATCCTGTTAGGAAATGTCTTTTACTTTCTGTGGTGATGAGAAACTCATATCAACTTTTTTTTTTTTTTAAACCTATCTAAAAAAAGTTAACTGTAGAGTTGCAGTGTTCCTGCCAAGTTTCCACAAGAAGCAGGTTGTTACTAAGGAATTGTAAACTGCTGAAAAAAACACTTGTAATGGAAACAGTGATTGTTTAACTGTAAGCTTGTGGGTACTTTCAAACAGTATAGCTTTTCCATCTCCTGACTTTCAAACTTCCTGAGTACCAGTTCCTTGCTGCTACGTTGCTTTAGTCATCCCTCTCTATATATAGTGCCTTCAGCAACCCCGTTGTTCATCCTACAATTTTTTTTAGCAGAGCGTTGTTTCTAGCCTGATACGCAAAACAAACGTAAACCTAAATCAATGCCTTCCATTTTGTTTTTGGTGGCATACACTTCTCAGTGACATCCAAGTTATGACTGGTGTGGAACACAGTTAAAGGAAAACCACACTGTTTTCACTAGAGGAGCAATAAAACCATCTTGATTTCAGTGAATGGTAGTACACATAAATAGACGGAATTTGAAATCTGTCCAACTTTATAAATCGCTTGAATTTTTTCAGGTCCCACATCTACGCTATTTCCTGCTGTTTTCTTGCATTAGTCGTTTTCCCATGTTTTCCTTCTGTCCTCAGCTGTGGGAAAAGAAGGGAACAGCAAAGCTGTCAGAGAACATAAATGAAGAGAGGTGATCGGCTTTCTGTAGTTTGTTCCTGCGTAGAAATGAGTTTTAGATAGGAGTATAGCCCTTTAATATTGGTACTAGTCCTCAGCTGCAGGCATTCCATAGTGTTCGGTGCTCACTTAAAATTGTTGAACACTATCGTCTGTCCAAGCTCGAGTGAGCAATCATTTCCCTAGCTTTTTAATTGTGAACTTTGCAACAGCTTTAATTTCTTAAAAATGACGCTATTAAAAAATCGTCATTGGTTGTATTAAGGAAGTGCTTTAAGAATGCCTGTGCTTTGCAGGCATTCTTATTAGGAATTATTATCGCCTAACGTGTCTTGTTTTCAGTAACTGTTTCTAAAGCTTGTTTTTTTAGGAAGATGTGTAGCAGTTTACTTCTGTTTATGTTTCACAACATGCATCTAAAATTCTTACATTTCTTGTTTCAGAAATGCTATGGAACCTCTGCAGCCCTGCAGGTTTGGAAAGCTTAAACCCAAGTTTGAAAGGCTTTTTCCATTCCAAATGATTTTTTGGCTTAAGCGCTTAATTAGGATGGCTTTTGAACAAGTTGGATTAAACATGGAATCAGTAAGTGTTTCAAACGTGCTTTATGTTTTCAGAAAATCAGGTATAGGAGACACTTAATATATTTCAGTTTGTGCTTACCTGTTCCAGCAGAACACTGTGAGTATACTCAATACTTACATGATTTTGCATTGCTGAAAAAGTATGAAATTTACTACTCGGTCACTGAAGTGTTTAGTAATGTATGTGTTGAAAATACTATGTGGTTCCTTCTAGCTCTGATAACAAACTGTTTACATTGTAAACAGTGCTTTTCATCCTGGACTTAGGCTGGGGAGGGACTTTTTACAAGAGTGTCCACTGATAGGACAAGGGGAAATGGGTTTAAGTTGAAGGAGAACAGATTTAGATTAGATTTTAGGAAGAAATTCTTCAGTACGAGGGTGGTAAGACTTTGGAATAAATTGCCCAGAGAAGTTGTGGATGCCCCCTCCCTGGAGGTGTTCAAGGCCAGGTTGGACAGAGCCTTGAGTAGCCTGATCTAGTTGAGAGGTGTCCCTGCCCATGACAGGGAGGTTGGATTAGATGATCTCTAAGGTCCCTTCCAGCCTATGCCATTCTATGATTCTATGACTTCTATTTGTGTTTTGAAGCTGAAGGAACATTTTCAACTGATTTTTAACAATGATTTTAAGTCTTAAATAATCTTATTTCTTTGCTTTTATCTTGGAGATATGAAAAGCCCCGTGAAACTGAGATGATTATAATTGTGCTGTATTTACCTCTCCTGAAAGTGTCACAATACACGAGACCGACACAGCTGTGTTCTTTACTGAGGAAACAGAGGGATGTGAACTCATAGCTCTCCTTTTGGAGGAAAGTTTGTATAGAGTTTTCTTTGAATGCTTAGCAGAGAGAGAGAGAGCACAGTCTGCTACACATCAACTGATTTGTCACTGGGACCTTTAGGAAGCTATTTTGAGTAGAAATATTGACCTCAATGCAGTAATCCCTGTAAGGTGTCAAAATATTTTAGTGTTTTAACAATGGAGAAATCCTTAACAGCTATACGTAGTGCTTAGAAAGGCAGTTAATACTCTGGATTATTGTGGTATAGCTTTTATCAATGGTGGGAATTTATGGAAAGCAAAATGTTTATACATTGTAAATTAAAATGACCGATAAGAATCCGTATTTTAGGATTTTATTTGAACTTTGATCTGAGATTTCATGTGGTGTAACTTTGAAAATTCGAAGTATGAGAATATGCTGGACTACCGTAAGTGTTGTTGTGGTCATTGTCAGCAACATCTTTCAGCCTAAATAGCTGGGGGGGAACAAGTTTTTAATCTCTTTCCCCCCATTCTCTACATGTATCGACTTTGTGATAATGCAATTACATTTCTAAATGTCAGCTGTTCTGGACAACAGCAAAACACTGATGCAATAAGAGGGTTTGACTAAGTAATACTTCGCAGACTTGCTCTGCCAGTGCTTCAAGTCAAGAAGTAGTTGTGTGGACCTTGGGTACAACAGTGCCGAGACATACTAGCTCAGCTGAGCAGTATGCTGACTTTATTTGCATACCTTGTGGCACAGCTTGCATGCACTTTTCTGAAAATATTGTCCAAGCATATCTTCAATTACCAAAACTGAGTCATTAAAAGTTTTGGTGCGCCAAACCACTGTTGTTGAACCACCCCAAGGGCATTTGGGCACCAAATATTTTTGAGGATCTGGCTGCTAGTCAACGTCTTGTCTGTGGTCTCAGCAATAACAGGTTTTGCCACTTGTTTAAAATGCCCTGCACTTATGTTGGTGATACAGCATGTAGGCTCTTTTGCTGTTGAGGAAGTACTTCTGTAATTAATTAATTAATTAAGCCTTCCCTTGACTAGTAGTATTTTTTCCAATGCAAAGTCATTTTGAGGCTATCACTAACACTTCTGCTTCTAAAGTCAGAATCTGTTGTGAACAGTGAGGCTGTAGTACTGCAGTACTATTTGTCAGGGACTTTTTCTTGAAGGCTCCTGATCTACCTGCTATTTGCTCAGATATATAGACAAACAGTAATGTGATAGTCACAAATGTGAGGTCTTTGTTTGAGGCATCCAAAACGCAGGATCAACAGAGTACTCTGCATTGAAAAAAGTTATGTTCAAACTTAGCCACATATTAAGCAAGAGAACGTGTGTTTTGTAGAATGGAAAAAATGGGTCTGAGTGGATTAATGGCTAAGTTGCAGCTCTGATGTGAGGATCTGGCATAGTGTATGTCCAGTGCACATGTATTTTGTCAGAATTTATACGTTCCAGTAAATCCAGAGGAAGGAAAGAGACTTGTTTAGAAATAGGCAAAATGTTCATGTGAAGTTTCTGAGATAATATAATCTGGGAATAAATACCATGCAGCATAAATTTGTCTTTTTAATAGAACTTTCAAAATTTAAGAGTAGTGATCTTTGCTTAGTATGTCAAAATGTTATTCAGCTGTGTGTTATGAAACTCCCACAGCTGCATTATACTAATTACACAGTCAATATTGCCATGTCAAACGAGGGTTGTTTCAGTATTAATAGCCTGGTTTTTATCTTGGGCAACCTTCTAACAGGATGTTGAGTTTGCTTGAAGCTATGAGCCTTTTAAAACTGAGGTCTGAGTATTAAATTTGTATCTACATCCATAAGTAAGCGCTGACCAAGTTTTTTAAATTGCCATACAGTGTTCTAATTGTTTACTAAGAATGTATTCTGTGTTAAGAGTCTTCCCATTATTCTTTTTCTTCTTTGCATTGGTTTTGTTGCCTTTCCCTGTGTTGAAACTTTCCTACTTCTCTCTAGGTTTTGTTTTTTTTTTCTCTTTTCTGGCTTATTTCGTAGTAGTCTCCTCGGATTAAAGTCTCATTTTATCTCATACAACTATGGTAAATAATAGAAGAAACATTCCTGACATTAAAAACAACAAAAGAAAGCAAATTCAATCCCTGTTGAAGCAACGCAGAAGAAATCTGAATTGCAATAGAAACAGTTGCAATGAAGCCAAGTGTGTTGAGGTGCTGTGTGCAATTTTAAGGACAAATTTTCATTCATATATTTATTTTCTCCCTTTTACTTTTCTTTGCCATTTAATTTCACAGTTACATTTTCATGCTTAGGCTAGCTGCTAGTTATTTTATTAAGACTAGTAGACACTATTCCTGTGTTAGAAGAGCTTTTAATTAAAAAAAAAAAAAACAAAAAAGATATTTTGGGAAATGTAGAATTACATAACTTTATGGATTTTTCATGATCAAGTGGCTTTTCTTGAAACGCCTTAAAAAGAGGTGTCTAACCCAATGCAGATTCTTTATTGTCTTGAAAATGGACAGCTTATGCTTTTGAAGATGCTTTCAACTCTTGAAGCCTTCTGTATTACCTGATTTATTGCTTTGAATTTAAGCTTAATGCAAAGGCTGTCTTGAATTTAAACACTCATAGCTATATTGTAATGACAAAAAGAAATTTTGTGCCAAATTGAGTATAGAATGTAAGGAGTTCACTGATAGAAATTTTAGTGTATGTATATTATATTCTTTTCTAGCATGAAAGGAATAACTTTTAATACGTATAGCACAAGCATAGTATGGAAAGATAAGGGAAAACTATTCCAATATGATATAGAAATCAGTTACCTAACAGCTGGCGTCTTTTTCCTTCCCCTCTAGGTGCTTTGGTCAAGCAAGCCTTACGGTTCATCTCGAAGTATTGTAAGAACAATTGGTACTAACCTCTCTCTTATACAGTGTCCAAGAGTTCAGTTTCAGGTAGGTGTTCTAAACAGTTTAGAATATGTGTTTTGCTATACTGAGAAAGGGATTTGCTTTTGCATCGGAAGATTTTAAGCAAACATGCAGTTCATTTAAATAAATGACTAGAGGGTTTGTAAAAGCAGAGTATGATAAACCAGGCGTATAGGAGAATTGGTTTACTTCAGTTCTTCCCACTTCCAGTTCAGACTTTTTCCCCAATACGGGTTCTTCAGCTTCTGTACTGCCTAAAATGTGAATCCATGTTGCTTTAACACACATAATGAAACTTGAAACAGTTTTTTTTTTCCTGGGGAAATTGGAACTCTAAAATGAGGCAATACAGTATTAAAAAGTTTTTCTTGAACAAAAATATATTCATAAAAGAGAAAAATGTTAGAAACTTATTTCTTTAAACAGTACTTACAAGCTATGCTGAAGAGGCATGTAAAGACGAACAATGTTACTTAAAAATATTGGGAAAATAAACAACTTTATCAGAAAGTAAAAGATTAGTAACAAAATAACATGAGTACCCTGTTTACTTTTGTTTTAAACACAAGGCTAGCACCGTACAGGTGAAAAGGGAGTATCAGTTCTGTGCAGGTTTCTCACTTGTTGGCTTTTACGTTCAAGTGCATGTAGTGGGAGGGTAAAGAGTGAGGGTAAAAGCTTAAGGAGGAGAAAACCCTTGCTTTTTATAAATAGTCTTTGAGGAACAGATGGGAAAACGGAAGCTGTTACACATACTCTCTTCAGCTGTGTGTGTGTTAGGGATAGGGGGTGGGTACAGAATTGGAGAAGTTTAGTGCTTGAAACTCAAGCTGAGAGGAATGTTTCTTGGGCCAAGCAAAGGAGGGGAACATAAAGATGAATGGTGGGAATCATCACTCAAAGTAAGACAAAGTAATTTCCACACAGCTAAATTTTTCACTGTTTAAAATAAATTTTTTATCCCAAAAGAAATGTATGAACAATATTTACACTTGAAATTATAGTAGCAAAATCAGAGAGTTGAGATTACCATAGAAGCCTTCTTGGTGTGATGGTAAAAGCCATGCTAACATTTTGCCCCTCTCAAATAATTACATTGAGAAACTAGGGCGACATCCATCTCCCACTGCTAGTGGCTTGATGAAACTTAAAAAAATAAATATATATGTTGTGGGGGGTGAGGATTTGTGCAGCTGACAAGGACAACAAAACGACATGCTGGATTTGAGCTTTTAGATATATAATTAAAGTAGTTATGCCAGCCATAAGGATCTGTATTCCTCAGATTTGAAAGGAAGTGAAGTCCTATAACGTACCTGATTTTCTCTACTGTGAACAAGGGAAGGTGATGCTTATTTGCAGATAGTTGGCCAAATGCTGCCTTCTCTTAATATGATACAAGAAGAAGACATTTCTGGTTTATGTATTGAAGAGAGCTGCATGGTACATCTGGGGAATCTGTTCCTTAATATTTTTAATGTTGAAATAAAAATGTGTATATATCTTCATCTGAATTCTGTGTTAGAATAAACATTTGCCTTATTTGCCTTTTTTTCCTCTGAAAGAGGCATTCAGTCAGCTTTGCTTAGATTTTGTGTACACTAAGTATAAACATTCATTTTCTATTAGATGAAAGGTAAGGATCCTAAAAATAGGAGTACATTTGTCAGTTGATTGAATTAGAAATACGAATTTCAAAGTTTGAACCTTGAAACACATTAAAATTTATATGATTTATGCAGGCTTTAAACTAATATATAAACTGCTGAACATGTAAAGTGTGATGCTAACATCTGTTTTTTATGTCTTTACCTCAGTGTTAAGATTCTGTAGTGAAGTTCAATACTGGTCTCGATCGTTTTTGTGCTGTTGCAACTGGCGCTTTCCTATAGCTGTTTCTTCCTCTTTCTTTCTTGCCAGCTTTAGCTATATTATGAAAGGACCATGCACTCAACCTTGCTGTAAGTCACTTTATTTAAAAACCAAAGCAAACTTTACTTGCCTCAACTGAGGGTGCATGTATGTCATCAGTGTTTCTAACTTTATCTAAGAGCAACAAACTTTCCATAGGTCTTCATTTTGCTTATGATACGTGGATAAGAGATATTGAAAGAATATCTCTGTTAATGTTCATTCTTTCTTCTCTTCTAGCATGCTTTTGTTCAGATAGTCTGAAAAAAGAGTAGTAGGCTAACATTTTGATTTTTGAGGTCTAGTGAGCGTTTTATTATCTGTCTCTATGGATCTTGCCATAGTCAACATTTAAATTAATTTCTAAATGCTGCTTATGTATTCAGTAAGCAGTGGCAGAGCTTACCTTACATACCGTATATGGCATGAACAAATGAAAATGGTTCATGTAGTTCTTTCATATATCACATTTTTTAGGTTTATCTGTAGTCTTTAGGAGAGAATAGAATTAAACTTACCAATGTAGCCTAGGTGGACTCAACCAAACCTACAATACTGTCTCTCAAGATAGAATCCTTCAGCTACAGCATTGCTGTTCTAGTTGCCTGTGTCTGTTTTGTCTGGTGAAAACCTGGTAACTCGATAAAGTCTCCGAAGGAATTGATGTGCGTGCAGCAAATATTAGAGTTCACTGGGCTAATTTGAAAAATCATAGCAGGTTTGGCCTACTTGGAGAAGTATTTAATATCTAAATGTATTAGTAGTTTGAAATTAGAGTTTTTGTTCTATCCTTTAATATATAAGAACATTTGTTCCACTTTCCACTTCCTGGAGCAAACAAAAAGCAGGGATCCTGCTGTGGCATATTCCTAAGCAGTGTTTCCGTAGTGTAGTGGTTATCACATTCGCCTAACACGCGAAAGGTCCCCGGTTCGAAACCGGGCGGAAACACTGGCGGGGCCGACTCTTTGGGAGTCGGACTCAATGATTCTTATGGGTGCCTTCCAACTCAAGAGAGATTCTCTGGTTCTATGACATCAGCCAAAACAGTACAGCTTGTGTAGTCTTTTCTTCAGAAATTTGTGGAGTAACGGTGTGAAACCCACAGGTGTGCATGTATGTGTGTGCAGCATGCATGCACACTAAAATAGGCAAACGCCTGTGAAGGAAGAAGCAGAAGAAGCAGCTACATAGTTTCCAGAGAAAGAAAAGCAGGCTGCTTTCACTCTTTCATTCTGTTCCTGCCATCCAGTATCATTTGGCCTCTGTTTTCAGCTCTCAGTTTTCCATTTCAGGTGCTGGCAGAGCAGTTGTCCAAGTTTTCTTCAGCTGAGGTTGGCTGGAGGAATAGGGTAGTCACAGAATTGTTTAAGATCATTCTATGGACAGGCGAAGGTTTTAAGAGATGGGTGTTGGCTTTTAACCTTTAAATTAAAGTAAAAATCTCGCATTAACTTGAAATTCGAAATTCACCGCTGTGGAAGGCCTTGTTGTTTTTAGGGATAGAGAAAAGAAACATCTGTATGTGGGGTAACAAGCAGATTCTGTTTACATATAAATATGAATAAAAAAGTAAGGAGAAACTTGCATCATAATATAACAGAAGGCTTGCTAGTAAATGTTGGATTAGAAGTTATTTGTCTCACAACGCAGGAAACCTGGCAGTGGTAAATGCATTCCTTACTGTTGATTTATAAAATTATTTTTGATGCAGGTACATGTAGTGCCTTTATTTAAATGTGCCTTCAGTCTTTTCATGGTAATAGTTCCTCATGTGGCCATTGCCATCAGGAATATCTGTATCACCTACAAGAAGTGGCTAATGTATTATGGATTTTTTTAATTACCATTAACATTAATACAGATACCGTGGTCATGAAAATTTATTTTTATTTCAAAAAAGAAAGAAGTCAAGGAAACCTCAAACAATGAAAATCCTAACATGCAATATAGTATTCTCTAGACTGTTTTAAAGAGAAGCAGACTGTGATGGTATTAGGCACAACTGTTAATGTGATAAACATACTACCATCTGTGCTGATGCTACCTGGAAAAAACCCTGTTGTTTCCAAATGATCTGATGGTGCCAATACACACTCCTGGGAGCTGTGATAAAGGCTCACACACAAGTTGCGAGAGTGTGAGGTGAAGATGACTAATCTCTATTTCTAAAGCTGTTGGTAACAATTCCCGGGGAAAAAAAACAACCCCAAGCCCACAACTTGTATCTTCCTGGGACCCGTGTGTCAAAGGCTACAACTAAAATATTTGTGGTTGTTCTTCAGAACTGGTTTCACCTCATCCAGACTGCAGTCCTACTGTGATAGGTCTGCTACAAATTCAGGTTAATGCTAATATTTCATAGTTGCTGCTGCATAATATTTTACTCTTACAGAGGTGAGTTGCCTTGAAAATTGTCCTAAGTGGTAACAGACTGGATCAAAGTTGTCTTCATAGACTGTTAGATACTACCACCATCTTTGTCAGTACTACTAGCTTCTTGGCCACTACCAGCAGCACGCAGCACGTAACCAGCTGTAACAACTTGTGCAAATTTGGCCTGTGGATTCTGTGATACAAGCAAAAGAGGTGGCATAGTTGCATTGGAGATGAGTAACTCAAGGTGACAGACTGGGCAGAAGAAATCACTGAAAGGTGTTTCAGTAGCCTTTATCTGCTAAGATGCTGAGACCAGGCTGCTCCAGTGCCTGAGTACACATGCCCTTGCCTAACCCGAGGAAGCAGCCAGTATTTCAAAGTAGATTTAGAACCATTTTGTATAGTTATGGCTACGGAGCATGTATTGATGGTCCAAACAATTCTTCAAATCTCCGTTCAGGTCACTTAACTGTGAATCTAAGAACGGTTCCAATCTCTGGAGCCTTGCTCACTTTTGGCTTCAAACAGCTATAAAACTAGTGGCAGAACCATGCTGGAAAATGGTCAATTTGTTTTGCATGCTGTAAATGAGATTGTTAGTAGATAGTGTATTCCATTACGATCGCATCCTACCTCTCACTCAAAGTCTTTGTGATTACTGAGGTAGTAGAAATGGCTTCCCCCTCCCTCATCCACGTAATACACACACCTTTGTTCTTGTACAGAAATTCTGGAAGTTGCACGGGAAGGGAAACACACTTCAACAGAATTTCACTTTCAAAATAATACTAAATCAGAACAAAAGACTTAAGAAGTATTAGTAGCCTTAATGTCTTTTTTTAACTACTGGTCATGAATATAATTTTAAAACATATTATTTCAATTAATATAGCAAACTACTGGAGAATGTTGATGTTTGTTTGTCCTTAAGGTAACAATTTCCATTAGATTTTTAGTGTTCAGTAGTGTCGTGTGATAGTTTATGTAGTTAGCCGTGAACCTTAAACCAAAAATAGTTTCTGTAAAGTGTTCAGCAGACTAGATTGAGTAGTTTGTTGAAGTTGATGAAATGGTTCTGGACCAAGCCCAGGACAGAGATAAGTGTGCTAAGTCTACGGATGTGTTTCGTGCATGTATGTGTTAATGACATGTAGCCTCACTAAAAGTATTGGGTAAAATGACAGTGACATGGGCTGGGAGTAGTGCCTCTAAAATCTTCAATCTTGTCTTTAAAATTTAGCTTACTTCTCATGCCACAGAAGGAAACCATCCTAATCAACTTAGAGAAGATGCAGTGGCCTCCTTTGCAGATGTGGGATGGGTTGCTCAAGAAGAAGGTGAAGTCTCTACAAGACTCAGGTACGCTCCTCAAATCTTCGCTTGGAACTTCTGAACTGAGAGGAAGAAAACTAGCTTCTCTCTAACGAGAATCTGCTGTGCACTGCAATTAATGGAGAGCACTTGAATTCTGGGAGGAGAGAGAGGGAAGAGTGATAGAAAGGATGGGGTCTGGAAAAGGAGTAGTAGAGGTTAGACTACCAGGATGATGAACGAAAGACTAGTTTGAGAACATATAGGAGATTGGCTTTATGCAAGGAAGGCTGTGTTTTTTATTTACTTATTGCAAAGAATTGCATGTGACAGCTTCAAGCAACCTTGTCGCCACAGAAATATCTGCTGTGGTATGGCACAATTGCTTGCACTGATTCTTCTCTAATTCTCCTGGGAATCTCCCCGCTCCATGGGGTGGTGCACTGTACAGCTTCCTAATTAGCAGTGATGTCACAATCCAATGTCGTTTTTCACCTTTCTGGTTAAGGCTCTCCAGTCTGCTAAAGACAGCTAAAAAATTATGGTTTATGTTTTGTCTTTAATCTTCGTAATGAAAACTGGCAGGGAAGCACGTGAGCACCTGTGTCCAAAATGATGGGACAGGCACTCTTGTGTTGGACCAAGAGTGCTATATAGCACTGTAACTGCATGAAACAGGTTGGATGAAGTGATGGAGTTCTCTATTCCAGCCTACCCAAAGTGCTTCTCAGACTAGCCAGAAACACGGGTACAGTTCTGTAGTGCAGAGGAAGTTTTTCTTCTAAACAAACTAACCTTCCAGAGAAAGGCACGGATTGTTGGCTTCAGAGATTACTGGAGGATACCGTTCTAAATTTCAAAGCACGAAATAGGTTGGTAATGACCTCGATGCCCTCCAACATGACTTGCCACAGCGAAGCTTTGCATAACGTACGTTCTGGCACTGCCACATTAATTTCACAAACTCAGAGGGGAGTCACAGAAATCAACGCTTGTTTGGGAAACGCTATTTCTAAAGTGTATTTGATGCGAAGGAAATTGGCTGGCCAGTACTACTTTTGCTTGCACGGAAACATTTTGTTTAAGGATTGAACTGTAAAGCTATTATGTTTAATGGACACAACAGGGAGAATAGTTCTTCGTTGCTTCAGAGAACCTGTGATGAAAGATATAGGACTTGCACTTGCTGAGACATCTGCATGTGAAGGGGGGAAGGGGGACAGATGGGTGTGGGATGGGACTAAAATAATCCTGCAGATCTATAGTGACCTTAAGGCAAACAGCTTATAATGGAGCATGGTAAGCAAATTACTTAGCAAATATGAGTAATTCAATGTGCACTGTATATTACATCTGTGCACAGTATCATGTAGTGGAGCTAGCACACTTTAGGTGTTTTCCAGGCATTTGAAATTCTCTGCTTTGACAAGATCATGTAGGTGTTACTGTTAAATATAAATTAATTATATAATTCAGTAAACAGTCTTGCAGATGTAATTTTGTCTGCAAATACAGTTTTATAGAGGAAGCAACTGAATGACAAATCATTTTTCCGCTACCCCTAGTCGGAGCAGTAGTGACAATTCAGGCATAGTATTTTTCCACAGTGTTAGATTCCAGTCAAGACATTTGCTTAAAACACCATTACTGCTCTGACTTGAAAATACCCTTTATTGTTTTGCTGTTCTGCTCTGTTAAAGAGTTTCTAGAAGGCCGGTTTTAGAGTAAAGTGACCACTGGTGCCTTCCACCTTACTTATTTAGGGAGAGCAGGGAGATGGCTGCTATAGGAAGCATCCTGTTTGTTTCTTGGCTTTAGTTGCTCTATTCCTGTGTAGATAACACCACCTAAATGTTAACATCCTTGATAATATTCAGTTCTGCTTGATTAAATTTCTGGAAGTTGTGCTGATGTTTTCTGTCAGTGTCGTGGGAGACTCCAGTGTGTATCTAATCTCGGATTGAGGTGGTCAGAGCACAGGGCTTGTTCTAGCCTTAAGTCTTGGTTCTTGCTTGAAGCCTAGCACAACTGCAGATCTAATGGGATGCTCATCCAGAGTAGCTTAACCCACACATCCGGAGGGGTGGGGCTCTTAAACTGTAGTAGTCTGGTGCCATTCTATGCATTTTTGAGAAGTTGTATCACTAGCCACTGTTCTTACTCTCACGTTTGAATAAATAATGGAATCCTGACCTGCCAGAGAAGTTTTGGGATTGAAGGTAAGGAGGATTGTGGAGTTAAGTATGTGGTCATATTTTGCAGTTATAATTTTTATGGTAATCTATTGTCATTAATCCTTATCAATTCTGCTTGAAATAAACTTCAAAAATGTTGGTGTCTTCAGTGAATATAAAACCTTTTGTAAGTGCTTACTTGACTGCAGGTGCTCAGTAAGGCCTCAGAGTTTAACATAGCTGGAGCTTTGGTGGGTAATGGTAATAACGGAAGGCAACAGTTGCATATTCTTGCTCTTGTGAGAAAGAGGAAGGAAGTTTATGGACTCTTTAAAACTGTATGAAGTTTTGTTCTCTGTACTTTTATTTATTGTGTTAGAAAACTAGATATAAGACCTTTTCCCGTTTACTGATAAGTAGCCTCTGCGCCACTCAGCTGTTTCACGTACTCCATACTCCCAACACTGCTAAAATGGTGGACTGTCCCTTCAGAAGTCCAAAAAGTACAAAAATGTGCTGTGGAGCTAAGAAACCCTTCCTTCTTTTTCAAAGGAATCAACTACATGTGACTTTGCAGCCCATGGGGGGAAAATGGTAGCATTTGGGAAAAAAAAAATTAGATCTTAATTCCAACAAAAAATACAATAGGTGTGAGGCAGAGAAATAGATTAGGGATGAGGGGGAATGTATTCCTTTTCTCTCCTGAAATCAAGGATTCCACAAAAAGCTGGCATGAGGAAGAGAAGAAATACAGCTCATGACGCAAACAGAAAGGATGTGAAGCTCTCATTTACTTTAAGCTAATATAGTGTTTTGGTGTGGAAGTGATTTGTGTACAGCCAATTGTAAAGTCAGGCCTTCAGCTTGTGTTCCTGGTTTGCCTGTAATGGAGCTTTGGTTTTTCTCTGTAACAAAGCCTTTAAGAAGGGAACCTTGTGATGTTTTTGTTTCAGGTCAGAAGTTTGGTCAAAAACAGCCCAGCCTCTTTCAGGTGAACTCCATCATTCTGGAAGGTCCCTGTGCAGACAGACATCCTTGCAGAACCCATTGGAAGAAGAACCGGTGTCCAGGAGCACAGTGACCGCAAATGAAGAAGCTCTGCAGAAGATCAGTGCTCTAGAAAATGAACTAGCCACTTTAAGAGCACAAATAGCCAAAATTGTAATCTTGCAAGAACAACAGAACCTGACGGCAGGTATTAAATTTGCTGCACTCTTAGCACAAATTAGTTAATGAGTTTGTCTCTTTTATAATTAATAATGTGCTAATTCATTTTTGTGAGATACTGCAACACTGAACACTTCTCCATACTGTTTCGCTTAGTTTGGCAGACAGACATAGCATACTACCCAAAGGATACAGAATAGGTCTTGAAGACAAGAGACCTGCCAGATTTTCTGGTATTTCAAAAGTCTCAGTGTTTGTGTGAAAGCCTGCCAGAATTCTGAATCTGTGGATGAGTAAAGAAGCACTAAACAGCTTTCAGAGCAAAGCTCATGATAAACATGATGTCTTAAACCAAACTACAGGAATGTAACATAATTTGTAACACTTAAGTCTTCACATCCAGTAATGAAATAGGCTCTCTGATATCATGAAGTAATCATAGAAGATGCTAATTACTCTTTGGGAATATGTAATATACATCTCAAGTTTATGAAATAAATAACAGAAAAGGAGCTTGTTTACTGGAATCATCTCTGAGATCAGACACACTGTCCAGATGGAACCAAAAGTGGTGCACTGTTTCTAGTAGTAAACAGGGTAGTTCTTTTCCCAAGGTTCTTTCTCCGCTTTCCCTCACCTTACTGCCTTCCAAGTCTACCATCTCCAAAGATTAAGGGGAGATGGTCCTTGTTGACTGGAGCCATTTGGTTTTCACTGTTTCGTAAGGTCACTTAACAACCACAGTTTTGCCTACGTTGATGTATAAAATCATATTCTGATTCCTCAGATGCTCATTTAGTTTTTGCCTGTGAACTGACAGCAGTTACTTTATTTTGCCTTAACTGTTCACATTCAAAACTATGAAATAGCATAGGATGACATGGTTTTTGAGGATCACATGATTTCACTCGTGCATTGTAATTATTGTTAGGGTTTTGTGAAATAACTAATAAGTTATTTTTCGTCATTTTCCTTTTACTTCTGTTTAATTTTCCTATTAAATTTTGGGTTGATTTTATCATCTTTACCTCCCTCTTCTGGTATAATGTTGTAATGACACCACATGTATGACTGTACACAGAGTAGACTCCTCTGTATTATCTGTATACATATCTCTGCATTTGAGCAGAGGTTTCTTAATTTATTTGTCAAGTTGTTACTGCTATTATATTTATAACGTCAATCTTGAAATCAAGATTATCGTGAGAATCCTGATGTTCGGGCAGATGATTAGCTGGCCTAAAACCCCTTAACCTCAGAGAGCTGGAATAAGCTTCAGTTTAAGCACTATTTGAGCTCTGAAATTTACATTTAAAATTTTTGTATGGTAATTTCTTATTTGTGATGCTAAGTAGGGAGAATCACTGGTTACATGGCAGATTGTATGTGGCTTCCAGCTCAACACCTGCCGCTCAAAAGGAAGTGAAGTACTGGTAACAAAAGGAGCAGAACATAACTAAAAGACGTCGTGACGCCCATCCCATCGCAGTAAAGACACGAATGCACCTAGAATTTGAACTGGAAATTCAAAGAACGCTTCTCACTCTTCGAGAAGGATTTTTATGTGGCTTTTCAGTTGAGTCTACTTAAGGTGGTTTAGGAATGAAGAAGTTACATGATAATTTGAAAAGGCAGAGGGGAGGCAATTGAAGCCATTAAAGTCATGTTCTTACCTGAGCATTTGTGAGATATAAAGAGGATTTACAAGTAAACTGATGTGGAATGCATGTTTTATTTGTAGTTGGGTCAAGTCCAGCTGCTTCAGCTGTTTTCCCTGTCATGCCTCCACCACCGCCACCTCCTCCTCCACCACCGCTCCCTCCCCCAGGCCTACAACCGAGTATGTCTGCAATTGAGCTCATTAAAGAAAGGAAAAACAAAAAACCAAACTCTGGACAGAATCCGACAGAAAATGGGCCAAAGAAGCTTGAAATACCAAACATGCTAGAAATCCTCAAAGACATGAACAGTGTGAAACTACGCTCAGTGAAAAGGTAATAAACGTATCAACATTTGCATTAATACGGTTTGCTTTTATGACTCAGAACTATTTCACGGTGAGACAGATGCTGATGTAACATCTGGCAAACGGAATGCAAAAGTATTGGCAGCTTCTAAAGCTTTGTTTGGGACTATGTTAATGTTTCTCATTTTCTTTCCTAGATCATCAGAAGGTACAAAACCCAAAGCGGCTGACCCTACAGATCCCGCAGCGTTAATAGCAGAAGCGCTCAAAAAGAAATTTGCTTATCGATACCAAAACGATTGCCAAAGTGAAACGGAAAAAGTGATTCCAAAGACTGAAACAAAGACAAAGACTGACATGCTGGTGAGTATTGTGGTTCTGAACACATGCTTGGATGAAACGGTACTTTTCATGAAAGCCAACACACGTCTTGCTGTCAACATACGCAGATACCTGGAAGTTAGCATCCCTGTCCACAAAACTCTAAGAAGTACTGCTGATATGCCAGGATTTGTGGCAATCATATGCTTTTAGTATCAGGTCTTAAGTTTGTATACTCCTTCAGCCCTAGGTTTAAAAAGCCCTGTTAAAAGTTTTCTTATTTTTTTTAAACAAAAATCTTTTCTGTTGCCACGAGCATGTGATATTCCGAAATCTCAGTTCCTAAGGGCTCATACCAGAAACAAATCTGAACCGAGTTTGCCTGCTGTTACTGACCTTAACCACTCAAATAGTGCACATGAAATTCTAAAGCAAGATCCTGAAACACATCAGCCGTTCCTAGGAACACAGAAAGCAAATTATTCAGAATGCCTGCTTGATCTTGGTAATAGGGAGTTTCTTCTAATAATTGGAAATACTGAGTAAATAAAAGCAGTTTATTTAGAGTGTGAGAATGTTAAAATGAAATTGTACTTAAAATTCACATCATGGTACGAGTTAATGGCTTCTACTTTATTTCAGATTGATTTGAAATTGAAGTAAGGGGTTTTCAAGCAGGGAATGTTCAAGATGCAAGTTTCTGGCATTATGCACTTACTTAAAAACCAGGCTAGTATCGTATCGATGAGCTTTGCTAGTAAGCAGTCCTTAAAGTCATGTGCTACAGAAACAGAGAGGAAGAGTAAAGAGTTGTTTTTCCTTTTGTGCGTTCAGAATAATGCACAGAAAACTCCAGAAGCTGGCTGCACTCCGAAGGAAGTTCTGAGGAAAATAAGATTCCCAAGTCACAAATCTCAGGACTTCCGAGTCCTTCAGCTTATTAACATTGACTTACTTGCCTTCTGGTTTAGGTCTTTAAGGCGGCCTCTTCCTGTCATGTTCAGGCTGTTCTTCCTAACTAAAAGGCTAGATATTCCCCAAGAATCAATCACTTCTTTCCCCAGTGTCTTTGAGGCTTTAAGGAAAAGAACATGAGTTGGCCATGTTTTATTCACACAGAGGTTTTTCATGACTTTCACATTTTGAAATTGACAGTCCAGATTTTGAGATTAAGGATCATCAAGTCCTCAAAAGCTAAGAAAATTGAAGGGTTTTAATTTATTAAGTGATACAGTGTGTATCCATCATGAGCTAATAAACATCTGCCATCAGTTACTTATCAATATGTAACTTCTTTGCCACATCAGTCCTCGTGGTATCTTTGTATGATACAGCTTTTGAAGGGATTTGCACAAAAATGCAGGATAGAGTAAGAACGGAAATACTCTCAAAATGGCGCTAGAGCAATTGGTTGTCAACTTCTCAAGATAACTACATCCGTAGTCTTATTTTGCTGTGGTAGAGTGAACCATCTCCAATCAGAGCTGCTCCAGCAGATGGTTAGCTGATAATCTGAGTGATTTCAGCCAGTTGCTGACAAGTTTCTCTTTACTTTGTGGCTAGGAAGTAGGTGAAATCCACATGCAGAGAAGCAGGTGGATAAAGCCAGTTACCTCTGCCCAAGTTCTGGTTTTACTAACAGCTTGGGTGGATAATAGTTGAAGTAGGTTTCTGCTGAAAGCAATCTGAACATGTTTCTGGTTTCCTTCTCAGTTTGGACAGCACATGCTGAAGTCTACAGGAAAAATGAAGACTTTAATTGAAAAATCTTAACGTATTAAAGTCACTACGCGACAGACTGTTCTGCTGTTTTATATGGAGTCTTTTACGTTGCAAATAGAACTAGTACTGAGTGGTCTCTTACAACACAGGAAAAACCTCATGTGAAATGTGGAATGGAGGCACTGAACGCGTTTGTATGTGATTTATCAGGGGGAATAAATTTGACCATTATACTCAGGTATTAATTTTGTATTAAAACCTGGCCTTCTACTCAAGACTTATGTGGTGGTTTTAGTTTAATTATTAACACTAAGTTATATATACACAACATCCTTTGTGCGTAACTGACCACCTTAAGAATTTTATACATGTTAATAATGATAATTATACACCCTTAAGTTAATATCAGTTATTTGAGCTCTAACTGTAACTTGCACTACGATGTTTAGTTTGATACTGAATTTCTCATGTCAAAGTCTTTCTTTTAAACTTAATTTTAGCAAATTTTTAGCCCAAATATAACCTGAATGCATTCTGCTTCCTACTGAAAGAGAGTGAAAACTTAAATCTGATACGGAGGTCACCTGGTATGAGACATTTTAAGTAGTAGCACATTTTTGTGCAGTTTTTGTGGGTTTTTTTTTGGGGGGGGGTGGGGGGTGAAACAGTTTCAAATAAGCTTACAAGAGTAAGAGCAAAACCTACTTGTGTCATCCTGTGGTCAACATAAAGAGCACGTGAGGAGTAAATCATGCTGTGGGAGCCTCTATGAATAGGTAGTCCAGCGAATTTGAAATAACCAGTAGATAGCAGGAGAGTAAAGTAACTAATGTCAGAGTATGTGTTAAGTAGCATAGAAGTGGTGTAGTTAAGAAAAAAGGTACAAAGTACCATGAGGTGCAAGTTGCTAAAAGTAAATTGCTCATCTCAGCTGTGCTAAGAGATGCTCATGGACACCTTTTTATCCCCAGCTGTCCAGGTCCCTGGACAGGTTTCTAGCAGCTGGGCACTGCACAAGCCCTCATGGTCCTATTTGCAGGGAAGAGATGGTTTAAGCTGTTGCTCATAACCTGTTTTCCAGGGGAAGCCCTTCTGGGGTCATGCCACAGCAGCAGTTTGCTGCCAGACCCGTACAGAGCCAGTGCATTAACCAGCCACCTGGGTGCGTGTCTCCAGCCACAGGAGTAGAAAGGGCTCAGGCTAAAAATAAAATTCAGGTTGAAAAAAGCTCTTTAGGAACCCGAGAGCTACAGCTGAGCTGCAGACTTAAGTGAAGCCGAGGTTTGCTCTGACCGTAGATGACACAGACAAAGCCAGTCTGGCGATTTCAGTGTTGTAGGTTGATCTGGCTGCTGGAACAAGTACAAGTGCCTCTTGGAGCTTCTGTTTTCTGGGAAAAGAAAAAAGCAGTGCTTCTTAAATAAAGACAGGTGAACGGCTCTGACTACGTCACTGAAGATGACTGAAGCTTTGCTGCTTATAACTGGAACGTAGATTGTACGATGGAGGAGGGTGTTTTTGGGCGTGAAACTTGAAATGGTGTTCATCTGTACACAGCGTGACTTCCTTCTTCTGGTCTTACTGACAGGCCGTTACATCTTTGTCTTCTTTTAAATGCCTTTAAAACACCTTTTTGAAAGTTAGTTTTGCTTTCAGGTTTTGTATTTAATGCTCTATTGCCACTATATAAAATAAAAAAGCAGTTAAAATAAATACTCTGTGTGTGATTTGTGGTACTCTACTAACGACAGCAGCCACAATAAATACAGTTTACGTTCTGTTATAGTGACTGTAGATCAGTGTGGTGACAACTTGCATCACTTTCAGGACTGGACTACTTTCCTTGCTGTGCAGCAGGAAAAGCAGTAGAATTAGTCCTAGAACAGTACAGCACTGATAATTCAGATACACTCAAGATTAAAAATAAAAATTATCAGGAACCAGTGAGAAGTTTATGCCTCACCACAAACATAAGAGGAAGGTACTTGTTTAACGGACCCTCCATCTCCTGGTACACAGGATTCTCCAGCACAACCATCCCCCTCCCAAAAGGCAACAACAGCTGGCCCAGAAAACCTCTGCTGAAGTCCTCATCTTCTTTCAGGGACAAAACCTGTTGAAAGTGTTTCAGTTTACACTCTCTTAAATGTCAGAGTTTCAATGAAGCAACTCAGTCCAATTAAATCATTAACTTGTAAAATTTAGGACACCACTTGACCTATTAAACTAGGCTAAAACATGGAAAAAAACCCACACTAAATGTTTCAGTTTGAACTGCTGCTGTGAGGTGCAGGTATCCAGCAGGCCAGAAATACAAAAACCTGTGGCAAACCTTACCAGTGGTGTAACGTTATGGTAAGAGAAATGACATCTGCACAAGCAAATAATATCAAAGCTGCCATCGAGTAATTTATTTCATACTTTTCTGTATCTTAATTTATATCTTTCTGCTTGAAATCTTTTACACGCACAACGCCGCTGCTCCCCACCTGAAGCAGAAGCGCTCAAACCAGGGACATGGATGCACAATGGGCAGAGACCTTGGACCCAACCTAAGGCCTGTTTGTGTCCGTCTGTGTCAGCAAACGAGCAGCATGGCCCAGCGGGAGCAGAGCTGCAGATGAGAACAACTCACGGTGGGGACGTGGCCTCCAGCCCCTACCGGGCTCCGGGACTGGCGTGGGCTGCCTGGCTTTTAGCTCCTGGCACACGCACACTCTCTGCTCTCACAGCAAACGCTGCAGGTGTAGGAACGTTGAAGTTCAAAGTAGACCTGCAGAGGGCATTTCTGGGCAGCATGTTCAAGAGAAGGCATTAATGTTATTTGTATTTTTTAATCCAAAGGCCAGAAGCTTCCACATACACTAACAGATGGGATCAGACCCAGTCTTTCTAAAGCCAGGCTGACAGGAAAAGACAGAAACTCCTTTCCTGGAAAGGTGGCGTAGAACCAAACTGCTCATGTTTTACTCTAGCACCTTGACAAGCTGTACTGGTTCCTGCTGGAGCAGATGACAGCAAGACTGCACCATGTTAAAGAATCACAGATTGTTTATAGATGTTATACTGAAATATTGCTATATACATATTTTAAAATTCATTAATTTTAATTTTCATTAAAATTACATATTAAAATATGCATATAAACAGCCTGTAACAAGTAGCAAAATTTATATTGCTGCCGAGGCCCTGTGTTTAACCAAGTCACACTTCCAAAAAAAAAAAAGTGAGTCAAAGACATCATCAGATTCTGATTTTAGTGGTTCTTTTGAAAACCACCGCAGGCTTGGGATACGCTTTATTCAGCAATGCTGAAGAGGAATCAATGCTTTTCCACACTTAACCCTACGAATCCATGCAGGCTTTAAGGAAGCTCAGCTGCAGTCTCCCTGTAGTAGGTCACTCACACACAGTCCTTACCTCTTTGTCCTGACAGCTCCCAACACCACTGGCCAGTCCCACCCTTCCAAAGACAGCCCCTTAAAAGGCGGCTTTCCTGTTACTGCAGGTTATAACCGGAGCTCGTTATCCTGTTCCATCCTTCTCTGTTGGAGTCAGACAACAACAAGGACTTGCCCTGACAGCAAAGGAAGGAAGTTCACGCAGATTCAAAAAAACGGTTTCATTAGAAATTTATTTCTTCAAACATGGCCACTTTGAGATTAACGATACTACTTCGGGGAACATGAAAGAATAATAAACAACTTAATTTTAGAAGGGAAACAATCAGGTAAGTCAGGATTTGCTCTTCAAACAGTAAAAGGCCAAGCTCCAAGAGGCAATACATTGTGGCATATGAGGACTGGTATTTTCAAATCCAAAAGTTGGCTTAGTTTTCCAGTGGAAGCTGACTGCAACCTTAGCTATCTTTCCATAATTCTGGACTCGATTGTAACTTAAATGTACAGGAGCATAATGTGAAAAGATTTTTTTTTTTTATTAATTAAAAGTTAACAGCAACAGGCACATATTAAAATGAATATGGCAAAGCCTTCACAAATGGCTTTACGCTGAAGCTCTCTCCCAAAAATGGCTGTTGCAACAAACTGTAAACAGAATTAATAAACAGTCTTTTACAATAATAACAGGGAAATACAAATGAACTAAAAGAAAGCACCAGTTTCTCAAACTAGATTACAGTTGTGCTTACTGTACTTAAAACAATGTAAAACAAATTACAAAAATGGAATGTTTTAAGTTTAAAATTAGTCCTTTAATTTTGTCCTAAAAAACATTTTCTCCTTTTCCCATCAAAAACCCATTGGTGGGTAATGTTTCAGTAGAGGGAGGAATACGTAAACAATGCACTTTTTTTTATTATTATTATTATTTTTCAAATCAAAAACAAATTTGGTCACTTAGCTTTGTGCATAGTTTAAGGCATCTGTAGCAATTTGTTACAGTTTCCTCCCCAATGTGGCTGTTCATGAAATTGTCACATTCTGAAAGAATAAATTAAAAAAAGAAAAATAAAAATAAAATGTTGCCGTTCAAACCCTTCCCGGTACCCTCCCGCCCTCCCCCGTCCCAAACATACTCACACACCCACACGTACACACACGCTGCAGCGAAAGGGGCATTTGTACCCTTGTTCTGAAGGACACGCTTCCCATCCCACTTTATTTCAGATTGGCAAATACCCTGAGCTGATTATGGTGTTTAGACATTCCACCTTTTTCTTGCATGTGCAGTTCAAGTGTACAATAGTGAAAACAACATGCGATGTTTCCACTGCAGAATCGCAATGCAGTTCGGACGCTTCCCCCCCCCCTACCCCCACCCCTTCCCTTCCCAAATTCAGAAGTGTTTTCCGCTGTTAAAAAACTGCATTCCCATATAGCACTGGAGTAAAGCTTGGCTGTGCTCTATGATGAATGCTCAGTTCCCAGTGCACAAACAAAATTATGGCAAATGGGAGGCTTTTCTGGCATCCAGAGAAACGAGCTGCAGTCTCAGATTTGATCTTTTTCTTTTAAAAAAGCAAAAAAAACAAGTTAGTGGTTCCTTCACAGCCATGCGCAAAGGTTAAGTCTAGAACCAATAGTTTCAGAGTACGTTTGTAAACATCAAGTCTTGCCAGAGGCAGCAGAGGATGGGCACTTCACATTTCCGTATTAAAACAGGGACTGAGTGGAAGGTACGCTTTGAACGTGTTCATGCAAGTCTTGCTAAACTCCAGGAAAGTGGAACAATCCATCTCAAGTCTTAGATTTGAAGACCGTATTCCAGATTTCACCAAAAACACAAAACCGTGTGGCACAACGAAGCCTTTGTCCTGTTCCTTCGAGGCTCAGTCACTGCTGTGCTTTGCATATTCAAGGTTCCGAACGAAAACCAACTGAGGCGTGTGCATATTGCTCTATGTTCAGATCTTGCAGTTTAAAAAAATTCTGCTTCAAATGGTCTGTGTCAAAGGAAAACTTGGAAATAAATAATGCTGGCATCATTTTACCACTTTACCAAAACCCTGGGCAGGCAAAAGTACCTCCTTTAATCCAACCGTGCAGATACCAAGAGAAGAGGCAGTTTTGTCATGAAGATTGAGGTCAGGACAATCGAGGCTCCTGAGGTAATATGTCTGAGTCCATCTCCTCGAAAGCAGGGTCAACGTCGTCACCGCCGCCGGAGTGCTCCCTCTGCACCCCCTTCCAGCTAGCCTTGTTCAGTCCCAGGTGGCCGAGCATTGTCTGCGACAGCCTGGTGTTTGAAAACCGGGCCCATTCCCCAAACAGTGGTTCCACTAAGTAGGTCATAAAACCTTTGGAAACAAGCGAACAAACACATCCAAGTGAAAAAACCAAAACAAAACAGGAAAACAACAGCACTCAAACTAAGTATTTTAAATAACCTTTAGTAGCAAAAAATAAACAATGCGTCAGACTATTCTTCTCCAGTGTGCATTTAAATATTCTTTTAACTATTTCAGGCATCTTTACAAAATAAGCTCTCAAAATGTAAAATATTTTACTGGTCAGTAGAAAGAACAGCACTACACTGGATTACAGATTAACTTCCTGTCTTTCACAGAAATGACCAAATAAAGGAAAATATTGCAGAACATGGGGGGAGAATCTAAACATCAGCCACTAAGTCACACAAACTACTTTAGAAAACCTAAATTTCTAAAAGAAAGATTTTATAACAAATTACCCCATAGACAGTCTGAACTATGTTACACAGGGGAAAAAAAGAAGAGATTATTTTCACAATATTAAGCTGATTAACAATACTGAAAAATACAAAATCGGATAAATTTTTAAACTAAAAGGCCACAGAACATCAACATATAAACTTTTATATACATTTGCATGTATGCACAAGTGCACTTATTTATAGTGTCTATTTCCATGAACCAAAAATTAAATGGTAAGACTACTAAAACTTAATCTGTCAGTTACAAAAACGTATGATTTTCTAACATTCTAAATTAAAACAGCACAGTTGATTGATGAGTTTTCTGTCTCTAATTTCAGGCACTAACTCATACTGTGTTTGTGGTTACGTTTATTTTCTTTACTATGTTCTTAACCTTAAGTTTCATTCGATCCACACAGCAACTTTAAGAAAAATAACTAGAAAGAGTCAGCCCTTCTGCTATTTTAAATCCAACTCAAATTACCAAAACCAAAAAATAAATATAATGGCTATTCACAGTTCTCCAGCAAATCTCTGCCCACCATCCTTTTTAAGGCTGCATTTAAAAGGAATGTGAAGATTCCAGAGAGCTGGAACCCTGTTGTGGCAACCTCGCTGCGAAAGGCATCCAAGACTGCCTGGGCAAGGGGAACTAACACTCCTCTTCCCAAACTGGCCACATCAGGTGAGGAAAGTTCTGGGCAGCAGCACAGGAGGAGTTAGACAGCTGCCTCCCACGTTGTACCTGCTCTGGGAGGAAACACAGGGGCTGCGGTCTCCCGGACGGTCAGTGCAGCACCTTTAACAGACACCCAATTTGAGAGAGAACAGTTACACAGCAAATTTGAAAAGATGGCTCTTTGTAACGCAGCGCTGCCACGCACACACGCAGAGCAGGCACCACCTCTAGGAAGCAAAATCTAAAAGGTACTTTTTTCAAATTGCATCCTGAAAGAAAGCTACCAAAATCAATTGAACGGCAGTTACCAATCTGGATGTTGGCAATAGTTTCCGTCTGTCGGTCACAAAGCGGACTCACACCCAAGTGATATTTTTTTTCAATATCTCCTAAAGAAACAAAAGTACAATACAACTATTAGGTCATCAAGTCCAGACCAAAACAGAGTCATCAAACGGTAACAGAGGTGAGCTGTGCAAGTGGGTTAACAAGGACAGTATCTCCAGTAATAGAGAAAATTCGCTCCATTTGTCAATTAAAAGCTTTATTAGCTGCTTAAGTAAGTAGGCTTAATTGCATGGCAACTAAAAATCTCCTCCCTAGCTCTTACCTGCTTACCAACAGGCCTCACAGCCAAAGTTTAAATATTGAAGGTACACGATGAATACATTTTGTAATTTACTGAAACCACTCCATAAACGTGGAGTGAGCATAATTATTCATCTGAAGCACCTTTCAGGGTGAAGGATCTATTGAGCCAGCCATTCTAGATTCAGATGCTAAGCAGATTCTTCGTTGCGTTTTAGTAGTAGCACTGACCTTTTGCAAGAAGTACAACTCCATGAAAGTAAAAAAAAAAAAATCCCATACTGTACTGTAAACCTCTATTAGTCCTGAATATAAATCCCTTTATTTGCAAGCAGCTCTGACTCATGGTCGCTCCCTCCACAGTATAAATACATTATGTACCAACAGACATCTCTCCTCTTACTTGCCTTGATGGAAGAACTCCTCCGTTACTTTTTCACTCCACTGTTTACTCAGCTCCCACGTCCGACACGGATTACAAATATCAGCACACTTCAAAGCCATCTAGTAAGTTAACGTACAGCATTAGGTTACCTCTCCCTCCAACAGAAGCATCTGTAATTAATTATTTCCTGACAGCAAATTATTTTAAGTTTTGTGAATAATAAACCTACCTACCATTTGTGCTTGTCCCTAAAGTTATGTTCTATAACCATTTTTAAAAACGCTCAGGGAACTATCAGATGCATTGATCATCTCTCAGTAATACCAAAATTCAGTCAAGTCAAAAGTATTTCAGGGACACTATATTTCGTATATTCAGTAGTACGGGAGACAACAATAAACTCAGAAAAAGAAACATCAAAGTAAGCAAACAATACCCATATTTCTGGTCTGAAGTTTACATTTTTAATATTAGTTTGCACAGGACAACTTATCTGTTTGTCTGCTTTCCTTTATAGACCACAATATGAACCCAGTAATAAAAATTTCTATAAGCTTAAAGAGACTTTTGTTTTTCAAACTTGCTAAACCTCTCTGTAGCAGAGCTGCAAACTGGTTAACAACAATAGTGACTTCCTTTCCTGAAATAGGTTCTGACAAAGCATTTCGCAGTTCTGAGACTGCGCTGGGTATTTCTGCTTCATTTTGAAAGTAGGACATAGCTTGGAAAAAGTAGTATTTAGCATTTTAAGTCAATTATTTTTGATGCTAAACTGATGTTTTCAAAAGTATTACCAAAAAGATCACCTGTAAAATGAAGTGTCGATGGTTCGCATTCTCTAAACATAGGTCTCCTCTATCCAAATGGGATCGAAACATGGACAGATACTCATTTTGCTGACTGATGTCTGTGGCGAGAATGAGATCACCTATCTGGCTTTCCATCAGCTGCCTGAAATTAGTGATACCAAACATCCAACATAACAATTAAAAACAACAGTCACCACTAGATTTACATGTCTTTTTATCATATTCATTATCTTATAAATACAAGTCACAAGCTCTATAATCAGCGTTTTCGCTGAAATGTTTTTTATTTTGTTTTCCCGCTCTGAAAAATTCCTACAACATCCATAGAAATATCAGGATGTTTCATTGGCCACTTTCAGGAAGACTAAACAGTTTTTAGCTCCCCCTCCCTCTTTTTTTTCTCCTCAAAACCACACAAACTAATTGTTTAAAGCTTGTTTCTTGTTAAAGTAGGTGAAGAGGATCTATTTTAAACTACAGTTGTGGTGGCAGAACACGAAAAGGCTGCCAACTGTCATCTAAACAGGTGCTTGACTATATGAACACACTTCTTCAGTGTGTTCGCAGTAAACATTATTTTCCAAATACCACATCGCAGCGTGAACTGCTCTACTCCAACAGCACGGTATCTGGGAATTCTTGAAATAGATCATAACTTACGTTTCGTATTCTGAACTGCCATGCAATAACTTAGCTTGTTTTGCATGGCTGCCTTAAGTGACAGCTTGCTTACATCTTAATCTAATCTATACTATTTTGTATAAACATACCTGTTCTCTAGTGACATATGTGCAAATAAACCAGACTCTCTCAGCAACCCCACTGCTGATCTCCAGTGATGGTTCTCCAATACTGAGGTATTCTGCGAACGAAAAGGGTGTTACAGGTGTCAATCAACAACTCCTTCTTCAACTGAAGAGCTGTATACTGAGGTACCAGGCAGTTTCGCTGGGTTTTGGGGGTGGTGTTTTTCTTTATTCTTTTCTCTTTTTTTTCCAGGAGATTAAAACTCACAAATCCTGAACACTTCATTAGCTTGCACATTTGTTTATCCCAGTGGCATGGAAACAATATCTGGATTCAAACCTACCACTAGCTAAACACATCACAATTTATACTCCTTCTCTGTACTCCTCAGGCATTCTCCAAACCTGGTTTTAACAAAACAACTGATTTTGTCCTTACCTTATATAAAGTTGCTAAGTAATGGTTTGTTTTAATTAGGAAAGGTTGGTTAACACCTGGGTGATCCAAATCATGTGTGGCAGCTGCTATTAAACTGAGCAGAACATCCCATGGAGTTAAAGATTTGGAAAGCTGTAAGATAACAACAAATGTAATTCTGTTAGCAATGCACGTATGCCCTTACAAAAAGGGCATGGGTGTCACATTTTTGTTTTTCTTTTTCAGTAATTAAAAGCCAATAGAAACTTGGAGAAAATTTTAATAATGTAAAACTAATATTCCACTGACTTCTCACAGTATTTCCCCCTCAAAAGCTACAAAATTTTAACAACAGTTTAAGCATTATTCTTTCTGAATGGGAAGGTTCAGTCCTAAAAAATGCTGGCACACAAAATGTTACTTTCTGGCTGGTAATGAAGTACTATTTCTAACCAGATCCTGTGAAAGCAGCAAATTGTTAAAATTAGCTCTCCATCTCATTTACCAACTCTGTCTCTATGTGTCAATTCTGCTTTAAATATAGAATATATTTTTAAAAACATAAAAACCTTTCATTTTAAAAGGAAGAAACTAATGGTCTGGAAGACTTTAGAACTGTTCAGAATGGATTTCTACTTTTATGCAAAGTTATATTTCAAAGTCTACCAGGAAAAGAACTGAAGGAGGCAAATCTGCCAAAAATAAATATTTTCAAGAAGCACGTGCATGTCGATTAACTCAGCAAGAAACTGCACAGACTTATTTTCACTACTCATAGCTGTTACTACTTCTAGTTGGGAGGTTTGTGAGTTAAACTCAGAAATAAAGTCTACACACTGAAATAGAGAGACCAGTTCTGTCCGCACAAAAGTGAAACACAGTGAACACCCTGCGAGGACAGAAGTTTACATTCCCTGTTGCATTTGCCATCTAGCATGCCTCACACATTTGTTTATGTACTTCCATGCAACAGAACCAGTAGCTGTATATGTTGCTAAAAATACAAAGTCTATACTTGTACCCGAAGCATTACAAAACTTGAATCACGAGAACTAAATAAAAAAAAACTCAGAGCTGATGTTGAAAGGGGTTAGACGTTTACAAAGTGAGCAATCACCAGGGTCTGCCTTGAGACCGTAGCAACCAGAGCACAGGAGCAGGAAGTCCTAAGAAACAGAACGCTGTAAGCATCTACTCCATGGTTAACTATTGTCTAAGCAGAAACCTCAACAGGATATAGGGATAAACAATGAGTAGCTGATAGGATGAAGACACGACTTCTAGTTACTGCAGGTAATTATAACACTAAAAACCACACCTGTAGGAGGAGATTTTATATGTAAATGTAGGACCATCTGAGTATAATGAACTAGACGGAAATTAATACATTTGTAAATGAGCTTTTATACAAGTGACCAATTCGCTACTGATGGGATTTCTTCTTTGTTACCCTTGTGTATATAAGACCCTGCGTGTTTCCTAAAAGGTGTGCTGGCTGGCATTAGATGCCTGGCATCCTACTCTGCACTCTGGATATAAAGGCAAATATCTTGACCCAGTGTGTTGATAGGCTCTTTGCACACCAAGTGGGGAACCCAGATCTGGGACAACAGAGCTTCCAAACTGCATGCCACAAAAAAAAAGCTCATCATGCATCAGCTCCAATTTGGCTCACTGCACCAACAATTGATGTGAGAACAGCATTGAGAAACTGAGTGGGAGGAGTGGGCAAAGTGCCTCTGAAAAACATCCATGGAGCCAGAAGTTACTTGTTTTTACCTCAAAAGCAGAATAAAGAGCTATGCTATTCAAGAGAACACCAGATTGGTGACAGTCTGCATAGAGGCAGACAACTTCCCTCCTGGCTAGAGAACACCGCAGTTTTCAATTTAATACAGAAGGACAGGATTTAGCCCTGAAATTGTCTTAAGACATCACTTACAGCATACTGCCAGCAGCCCAAGTAATAAGAAACAAACACTCAACTAGCTCAGCTCTTTAAGGTCTGTCACACTGTCCTTTTTTAGAAAGAAAGGCCAAAGAGAACTCTCGATGTCTGGCTGTAAGGTGCCTCTAGCCGAAGCATATACTACTCATTAACATCAAAGATGAGCAAAGCAAGGGTAACAGTAGTCTCTAGAGGTAAAACCAACCACGAAACAACAACAAAAAAAAAAACATGAATACACAGGTTTGTTATTGCCAGCTCTGACTCAGGCTGTGACTCTCTGTACAAATGTTGCACAGCGCAATGTTAAACAGCTGCAATCTTCATCAGTTCCCTACTCTAGTTCCACATGAAGTCACACAAAAGACAATGCCAGCTCTGAAGAGGGGGGAAAAAAAAGCATATTGCTAAGTGTGAACCCACAGCCTCAGCAACATGGAGAGTCCTCCTCTGCCTTTTTGTGTGCAAAGAGTAGGTTTTGGTGAGTTGAGGAGGTTGTTTGGTTTTAATAAAAAGCGTGCATATACACACTCATCTATATATGTGCACAGGATCCATTCATACACACACACAAACACATGTATTTCTGTATATACATGTGATGTAAAAGTGAGAACGCTCCCTTACCTTGGGCTCTTTTAAGTAACAGTGCATGGCCTGAGTCACATCAGCAGCATGAACTGCATTATGATAAGGGTTTTGACTGTGATAATCTTCTTGAACCATAACTGCAGGAAAATAACAAATACCCAAATTGAAATAAAATAGCAATTTTTTCAAGTACCATTTTATATGTCCTTGTCAGGCACAGAAATATGCAATATCACAAGTTACATACACATAAAAGTGTCAAAGTCAATACATCATCAGTTAAACCAAGACCCAGGTATAAGATATTTTATGTGAAGAAAACAGTATTTTCTAAAGGATATCAACTACATGTAAAGTCATCTCAAAGCAAAAATTAAACAACTTGAAAACAATACATAAACTGAACTCTGAGTTTGAGAACTTCCCAAGAAAGGCTCCCTTTGATAATCTAACCTGCCTCAATGTTGAAGCAACCTGGAATACAAGATGAACATGATACTATTTACCAGAGCATCAGGGTGACTTCATATCATGCCTTGAAAACAGACAGGATCAGAGGAATTGGACACTACCTCCCTGTCAAATGAAGTGTTTTTCTTTCCCCTTCAGAAGAGTGGTCATGGAAAGCCACCTCTACATAGTTTAGGCATCTTCTCATCCTGGTACTCAAGCAAATTCAAGCCAATACACAATTTAGGAAAGAATCTCATTTAGATGATGGTCTGACTAACCACTCCTATTTTTAATATTCCGTATTTTAACTTCTCCCTTCCTTTCCTTGTCCTTCCTCCATCTTCCTGACTGTCTTTAAATATTATCGGTAGACTACTTTAAAGAACATTCACATTGGCCTGAGTACGTAGAGTGAAAAAGCTGTAATGTTATAAAGGATGGAAAGGGAGGAGATCTGAAGCACAGCAATCAATCTGTATTCTAAAGTTTCGCCTGATAGGACACTTTAGCTCTTTGAAGCAAATCTCAAGAGAACATTTTCCTGGCCAACTACAGTCTGTCAGCCCTATTCAAACGAACATGCCCACAACCTCTTTTCCTATTCAGTTTACAAGCTAGTACCCTCCATGCAATTGTGACTGTAATGTTAAAGCATTCTTGCCTTGGTATTTGTAAAGAGCTGTGGTTCAATGAAAAGTCAAAATACCGTAACCATTGCGTAATCTCAACAGTACTGAATGCATAGCTGACACCTCATATGGAAAATAACAAAACCAAGCATCTTCAAGCTCTATTAACCTGCCACTGAACTCCCTTTCACCTAGTCGTCACATCCAGTGCATGAATGAGGATGTCCTTGCCTTACACAATTTTTTTGTGGCTTCATCGGCTGGTCCAGCTACCTGAAGTCTACAATTTTCTTAACTTCTTTATTTTAATAAAGCAGACCTAGGATAATAGTTCGATCACCGTTTGCCAGAACTAGAATGGCACGACAATCCTATGTTTCCAGGAACTTTGTATTTTCTCTCCCCCTGTTCAGGTCTGAACTAAGAACTTGAAAGCACACAGGAAACGGATCTCTGAGTAACCCTTGAAAATCATATAAAGACTGTGTATGTGTAAAAATATATACACGCATACATACGTACGTGAGATATATACACACACAAAAGTAAAATGTTGAGATCCTATTGAGGACTAAAATCAGATTTCTCTCCCTAAAAAGATTCCAGTAAGTTCCCCAATAAAGTTAATTTTGTCTGGCACTACGGATCACTTGAGCTGCCCCAGTCTTCTGGAATTCGATCTTCAGATTACTTTGGACTAGAGTATAAAAAGTAGCAAAAGAAAAGAATGAACTGAGTTCATGCTAAGAAGTTGTATTTGGAAGAAAAGTTCCTTAATTGGACGGATGGGCTGGGGCAGAGTTATGAAATGTTTTTCTTACTGCTATTAAGTAGAAGGCATTAATGAGAAGAGAAAGGTGGTAGATTTCAAAGGTAGAATAAAATTTTGCCTTCTTCCAAGTCTAATCTCATTTTAGTGACTTACTGCTTTGAGTAGTCATATGTAATTAAGGCTATTGTTATCTTTTGATAACCAGGTAACTAATCCAGTCATTCCTAACTGGTCTTTCAAGTACCATCTTTTCCTAAATCCCAACTAACCAAGAAATAAGTAAGATGAGAAACACACTACACACTCAGTTAAAACTTGAGTAAACTAAGACCAGATTTCTACAATTATTTTCTTCACATTTCACTGTATCACTACTCAAGGTGAGCTGATCTACCCTTTTGAAACTGGAAGGAATTGAGTCCACTTTAAAACAACACAAAATGCAAGACAGAACTGAAATTTTTTAAAGCTGAAAGAGAACTAAATGATGAAAAAAAAAAACCTAACCCAACATTCCCTTATTTGAATGGGGAGAAAGGCCTTCCAAATGTGATTTCTCCTCTGTTAAACAGCAAGCTTTGTAACCACAAAATTGTTTTCTCTGAAACTGGGAAAGGACCAGAATTTGTTTCTCCTGCTCAGTTTAAAAAAAAGCATCACACTCCACAAAATTACGTGCAAGGTACTGTTACAGAAGAACTGAAGGAAGGAAGTCTCACACCAGTGTCTGTGTCTACAGTACGGTGATGCTAAACGACAGCTCTTTCAGCTGTCAAGTGAAAATATCACTTTATTAGAATATTCTACATAGCATTTACAATTCCTTCCATCAAGTCATTGCAGTGCCACGGGCCCAACAAGTAAAACTGTCTTGTGCTCTGCCTATGGAGAAAGTATACCTACAATACAGTGCTTATTTGTAGGAGAGTTTGAGCAAGGAAGAGAGAGAGAACGTCAAATTTGCTCCATTAAATATGGCCAAGCTGACATGTTCTATACAGTTAGGAAACTACTTCATGAACTTCGGAAATTAAGATTAAAACAGAACTGAAAATCAAAACATTAGGAAAGGCAATACAGCTCCTTTCATTAAAAATGTCACACAATGTTACACATATTCCTGATTATTTACATCTAATACACACTATACAGCATCTGCTACAAATTAAGCTTGTTAATACTTGCTTGGACTGAACATGGAGATTTCTATGCTCATAGAAACTTTGAGAGATTGTCTCAATCAACATAATTTAAATCACTGCACAATCTGGACTGCATCAGTACTCTTCAAACCTTATTGCTAAACTATAACCAGCACTTCATTTGAGGTATAAAAATGCGGATAAACAGCAATATTCATCATAATAAAAAGCTGTATTTACCCAAAAATCTACGAAGTTTCATCGTATCTAACTGGAAGTGTTCAATTAGTCCATGAAGATTAAACAGATGAAAGGTTAAGCTGACTAGACTGTTTCCTAAAAATAAGATGAAAATACTAATTCATTGGAAGCCATGAAATCAGTGTCTCTTTCATAAGAAATGTATCATTTCAAACAAATTGGTCACAAAAATTATACAAGCAAATTTTTCTACACCAATTTATGACAAATATTTAAATCTTACTGCATGACAAGATTCCATTAGCTATCTCCTCTAGTAATCACCAGTGGGTTTGCATAATTATAATGCATTCACCAATTGTCCACTGTCAACTGATAGGAGGAAAACGTTACTGAACATCAAAAAAGCAAGAGGTTTCAACATGCAAACCCATTGCAACAGTATTCAACGTCGTGGTATGTTGCATCATGATATTCATAAATAGACATACAGCTTAAGACCAATATAAAAATAATCAGATATAGAAAAAAGCTAACCAATGCTATTGATTAGCATACATCATACACATGCTCTCTCTCATTTTCATCATGTATTTTGCTAAACTACTCCTTATTTCACCCATAACTCAGAGAAAAAATTCTAAGTTTCTCTAGGATATGTGTACTATTTCAAGCTTACAATATACTTTGTCTACTCACAGCTATAATATTATAATCACTTGCAGTGGTAAACTGAGTAAAACTGTAAGAGACAGAAGTAGCCCGCAAATCTTTACTTGAAATAGCTTGCCTGTTATTTACCCTGCAAACAAATGTAGTGGCAGATAACTCAGTTTTGGTACACTGAGTCTGACAATCTTCATTTAGCAGGAATTAAAGAATCTAGCGCAGACAGAAACTGAGGTACAAAAGGACAAAAATTTCTGCTAAATTTAGCTTATTACTAGGCTTAATGTATTTGCATGTGCACATCACTTCCTCACAATACGATACACAATTCCTCGAACAATATTTACAGAGTAATTTGTGTCTTACAGGGCTCATCCAGAGCAGCTTATCAAGAAGTTTTATATACAGTGTCCTCCCCTTACAAACTTTCAAGAACAAGACTGCCTGTTCAAAATGTCCTCCTAAAAATCACTAAATTAGGATGCAAAACAGATGGCATACGAAGGTTTCCACAACAGAAGCTGTACTGGTCGTTTCTAAAACGTATTTGAGAGAAGCATTTTTAAAAGGCAGAGAAGGTCTTGTACAAAAAGGATTATTTCAGATTACTCCCATCTGATAAACTAAACCAAAATAAGCTATGCCTACAAACAGGTTAACCTGCACACATAGCTTCTTCTCATTCAGTTATCTAGTCTCAAGTTTATTGTTATCTACATAAACATTCTATTTGTAAAAATTCTCACTATTTTGATTTTTTGTATCTATTTTCCGTATTAAATCAAACTGTGAAGATACTACTTTTACACTAGATTAAACCAAGCATCCCTTCAACCAAACAGGAGACAAAATTATTTTTTGGTGCCATGTTTTCCTCTCCGAACTTCATTTCTCTTTCCTTCTGCCAACTTTAAAAACTCTGACTGCCTGCATCTCGGCCACCATCTCCATTTGACTGATGTAAAACCTGCAAGAGCTGCCCTCCATTTGCTTCCCACACTGGCACAAACGTTGCCTTGGTGCTGGACTCACTCATCTCCTTGTTCCATTCTATTCAAAACTCAGCTTTCATTGCTGTGATTGTAATACCAAACTTCACCCTACCCACTCCAGCAGCCCTCCCTCCTCCACGTTTACAGATCTCTCTTCTAACTGTCTGTCCGTAACTGAACCAATGGTTTATTCGCCTTTTTTTTAAAGCAACTACTTCCTTAGTTCCTACTGCTATTTGTAATGTGTGCACAAAACTAACCATATTTTCTCCCTTTTTCTGTTTTGTGCAAGCTACAGGTACAGCAGCTTCTGTCTGCTCAACTCCTAACTCTCTAGGTATTCTGCTAGATATTATAATTATAATGCATTCGTACCATCTTGCCTTCTTACGGTACTGTAAAGTAATAGAACTATTCTACCTAACATTAAATTTATCAGAAAAATACTTGTCCAATGTAACTGACCTTTTGAACACGACCATATAATTTAACAGCATTCCATAATTTAAAAAAAAAAAGACTGAATCAGCAAAATTATTTGTTAATGTATACCAAAGTTATAATAGAGAGAGAACAGCAATTTATAAAGTACAAGAAGGGCCTCTTCTACAAATCAATGATTGTTATCAGTACTGACAGTGATGGTATTTTAACAGAGTGGCCAGGCAAAGTAGGATTTAGATTAAAGACTATTAAATCAGAAAGTACACTTGATTAAATTTGTGCTTTTTAGCAAACGAGCAATCACATATTGCAATGTAAGTGCAATATTTAAGCTATGCTAAGAGATAAAACACAAATGAAATAGCAAAAGTAAACTCACCATTTGTCAGTCTATCAAAAAGAAAAATATCAAAATTCCAATTTCCAACCTTCTCCAGCATACACTGAAAGAAAACACAAAAGCTATGACTTTTTTCTCAGCATATGCCCATCTTCCCATAGCCCAGAGGAGTATTTTAAGATTTCAGAGACTGATGCAAGTCTTAGAATTTCTATATGCAAAAAACAGTATTAAAGTTATAATTAAATTTGTCTGGTAACTGGAAAACATTAAAATACACACTGCAAATTGAAAAACTTAAATACAAGAAGTGTGTTGACAGTCCTGACTTGAGTTTTTCCCCTTCATCCTTTAGTCAATTTCTTAAAAGAAATAAAATTTAAAACAATTGGGTTAAAACCAGAAACAGTATGACAGAATAACTCTGTTCAGACTTCTTCCACTTTTAATTTTTGCATTAAGCTAGTAGTTAAT